TAAGGTTTTGGGGAAAAAAAAAGTTTTTTTTTTGTGTTTAATGTAGTGAAGTGAAGTGCAAAGTAGCTAGGTGGGGAGCAAATCTAAATGCTTAAAGAGCTAACTTTAAAAATCCACATTGTGGTTTATATTTCAAAAAACAACAAAAAACAATTGTGTAACTGGTTAATTTTATGTATATGTATATATGTGCATGTTTACTAGGTGTAACTAAATATATGTTTTCTTCATTTTAAATGTAGGCATGTATAATAGTAGGGCAAGTGTGTGTGTGTTCGTGTTATGGTGTGAAACGTGAGCATTCATGTAAAGAGATGTGTATGTGTATGTATGTATGTATGCATGTGTATGTATATATGTGCCATACATGTATACAGTCTGTGTATGTTTATATATCGAGTGTATATTGCTCGAAAGAAGAGTATTGTAAATTGTTTTTATATAGTAAATGTTTTTGTATTATAAATGCTCATATATTGTAAACTGTAGGTTGTGGCTACCACCTGGCAATCAGCCAATTGTAGCCAAATAAATATTATTATTATTTATTATTATATTATTTTAAAACTCTCGTTGTTCATCCCTTTATAATCTGTCAGCGTAAAAGAGATATGTCAGAAACTGTTGTGCACAATGAAGCAAGTTATTCACTGCATATAACAATAATTCTTTGAAATTATCTCTCTGAGTTCTGCCTCTCAAAGTGAACATTAATTTAAAGCCACTTAGGGTCAAACTCGTAGGGTTCTTAATATGCATGCTTCAGAAGCCATCTCTGGAAGAGGATCTGAAAAGCAAAAAAATTATGTTAGAAAGAGTACTATGTCCTCAAATGAATGTTCTGAAAAACAAATCTGTATCAAAAAGAAAGCCGTTTCTTTTAATTCACCATCTAAGATTACGAAATTAGAAAGCCACAGGAATATCGCTGCACTTACCACACACCGAAGCGCAGATTCATCTGCCCAGAATGGCTTCTTGCACCAGTCCAAGTACAAGGATCTGTAATGACCAAAAAAATAGTTTTTTATTTACTATAATTTGCCCTCAATTGGACTAATAACGGTATATAGGAAGGAACATACCATGAGAAAACGTTTCATAAAAACTTGAGGTGACACCTCACATGGGTTGAAAAGATCTGAAAATGGAGACAAACTTGTAAACTATCCCATCTTCAATAAATTGCAACAAGTAATAATTGAGATTTCTTAAAGATTATAGCAAATATTTACCTTCACAAGGCTAGAAATAAGCATCTGCCTGCACTTGCTGTAGCAGAATGTTCAACAGCACTAGAACCTGTATTAATCAACAACAAATTATTGCCATACATTATTGCTTTCAATAGCATGCTTCTTTTTGCATTTTACAAACATACAAGAGACTTACCATTTTCAGTTTGAAAAGCTGCCTTGTGTACAAGGTCTGAAAATTAAAAAAATGCTGGTATCATAGCCTCCCATCGAACTATATATTCTATTAAAACTTGTATTCTAGTAATATTCTAATTAAAAAAATCTTACAATTACACCATAGCTGCAGTGGGTGCCACCTCGCTTGCTCCAAACAAGGATATGTAACTGAAAATGAACATATAAAAAAATTCCCACTATTGTTACGCACCATCATCTTCTCGAAGCCAAAATGCACGCTTCAGACTTCAAACAGCAGTAAATCACTTCATTTCTCTAATTCACTGACTGCGATATGGCGTTAACAGCCCTACGAACAGCACGTGAATATTACGATAGGTCGACGAGGAAGGAATCCCAACGGTAACCAACGGCTTCGTTTGTTTTCCCGAAAAAAATTCAAATGAAAAAGCTAGGCACCCCAGATCTTCATCCAGGTCAGTTAGCTTCTCAACGAGGCACTTGATGGACGTTGCGTAAGCCTTAATCGCCTTGTGCACATTGTGCTTTGGCTTCGCGTACTCGTAAAGTGCATTCGCTTTGTGCACCAACATGCCCCAAAGCTCCTAACGCTTCCTCACCTCGCTATCTCGTTTAATTGTCTGCTGGTCTTTTGTACTCGTAGCATTTAATGCAACAGTAGCCGAGTCCGCCACCACTGAGGCATTTCCTCTCGCCTTCGCGCTTAGCAATGTTTGGCCTCCCCCCCGAATCCGTGAGGCCGTCCTGCGCAGAGGGTGGATTGTCCAACTCGATGATTGGGGTACCACCGGGGGTATTATTTCCGTTTCGTTTTGACATTGCATATGCCGTAGATTTTTAAGCGAGGTGTACTTCCTCGGGTTCTTATTTCGGGCTTGTCCTTGCCCTAGCCTTTAGGAACCCAATCCCTGACTGCAAGGCAGCAGTACCTGTTTGGCCCGCGGGAAGTATTTTATTTCCTCCTCGCTATATCTAGCGAGCTTTCACCTATCCGCCACCTGGAGACGCGCCACGTATGGGTTACAGGTTCCCGTGCCGTGTGTGTGTGTGCGTGTGTGTGCGTGTGTGTGCGTGTGTGTGCGTGTGTGTGCGTGTGTGTGCGTGTGTGTGCGTGTGTGCGTGCGTGCGCGCGCGCGCGCGTGTGTGTGTATGTGAGTACCCCTCCGTCGATTTCCCCTTCGCCGGAGCGGCGCGAAGTGCCGGTTTAAACCGTTTCCTTAGGTTGTACCGTACACTTTAGCCAAGTTTTTCGATTAATAAACTCAACTGAAGTATTAATTCACTTATATATTGGCAACTCAATCCATACATATACAATAGACGTAATTAAATTTTAAAATGTTTTATAACATCATTGGGATGTAGTGGATATAGAGCAATTAGAATTTTTTTATTATATGAAAGCATATCATATTACCGCAAGTCCTGCGTTCCAAACAATTCCATAACTAGGTCATTTTGATAGCAAGACGTCAAAAGCTTTCGAAAGATCTAAAAATATTCCAATGGATGCTTCATTTTGGTCTTGAGAAAAGTTTCCACTCGAGTATAGAGCCTCTCTAATATTTTTAAAAAAAGTGGCAAAAGCGAAATAGACCGGTGATATTGAATGTCATTTTTGTTTCTTTTTTTTAAAAGAAGTCTTAATTCCTTTTTCCTTTTTTTTTATTTAAGATCGCATCAACTGCTAGATCATTAGCGACCACTATTGCTTGTAACGGTTTGGTAACTATGAGGATGCCACGATTTGATGATGATGGGGGTGAATGGACGAACACAATATAACCATGGCCGAGGCGGGACTCGAATACGCGTTCCTTCGGTCCGAGATCGCTTCGGCACTACTGCCTTAACGATCTAGGCCGCCGATCGGCTGGCTTAATTTTTGCTGTTTTGAAAATATCAGGAAATATTCTTGTGCATAAAGAAGCTTTGAAAATGTGAGTTAACGGGTGTATAATGGCAAGTACTCAAGTTTTCAATAAAAAAATCCAAAAATTCTTCTAAACCAGATGAATATTTATTTTTTACTTTATTGACTATTCTCAGGATTTTGTTAGAAGTAGTTTCGGAAATAAACATCGTGTCGAACATTTTTTGGAAAGGGAATGATGTTGAATTTGGTGGTTTTAGTCGTTTTATGATAACACAAATATATTTTTTAATTATCTCTCACGCCGATAAATGCACATTTACAGCGTATTGCATACAATATTGCATTTCTGAGAGTCAGTGCTTCACATGATCAATAAAGCTTTTCGAAATCTCAATTAGAATCTTCTGTGAATAAGAGCTTCAAATTTCGCATTTCCAGTAACGCTTAAACGCCATTTTCGGAGAAATGGTACCACATTTTTCAACTAAAATTTCTGTATAGGACGGGGTTTTACTTTTCATTAATATTCTTAAAATAATTTTTCGATTCTGTCATTAGGAAATCGAAAAAATGAGCAACTGTAGAGAAATGAAGTTTGGGCGGCGATGGATGGCAGTTGGTATGAGGATGGGGCACAACCGAAAACTAGCCCCGACCAAAGAATTGCAGTTGGAATTTAACTAGTATGAAAAAGTTTATGCCATTCTGTAGCACCACTAGTTCCATTTTGTTTCGGACTCAGAACGTTTTGTGGCATCTAAAACAAAAATAGTACGAACACAAGTTGTAGTGTATGTAATACGAGGCCTTTAAATATATACACCATAGTTCGGGGCTCATTTTACTATTACTCGGGCAACTTTTCTTGAACGATGGATTGACGATTTCGGGTGGAGTGGTATTAGCTTACAAAGTCGAGCCACTAGAAGTATTTTAAGTTAATGCCAACGTCTGTGAATGAAAGTCAAAATGCATCTTGTGCTTTAACTTTCCCGGGAGTTTCAGGTGACTTCCCTTAAGACTGGACCTGACTCAGCATTTCTTTCGATTTTGACAATAAATCTGAACAGGTGGTTCTGCACTATGAAAGCAAACTGGCTTTGACTAGCTTCTGTTGCGGGCCAAGAAGTTTTTAATGCTTTGGAAGTGTTGTCAAACAGTCCCCGCTGCGAGCTGTTTGCCTTCATACTGTTTATTGCAAAAGGACGGGGATCAAGGTCATCGTTCAAGAAAAGTTGCGCGAGTAATACTATCGCCGTATTAAAATTCTGCAATCTAAAACCGGTCTTCAATACGTTTCAATTCAAATTACTGACTGCAGGAATAAAACAAATATTTAAAAGATATTATATATAATTCGTTAAGAATTAGAATTGGTCTATACGATTTCAAACTATAATTAAAGGCGAAAGACTTATCTTCCAAAGCTTTTAGAATCGAGAAAATACGAACATCTGTGTTTTACATCGGCTCTCATTTACAACTGAACCACGAAGAGATGATAGCCAAAGAAGTTATTAAACTAGTTGTTATAATCGTTCCTGCTAGAAAATTGCCATGTATGAAAAGATACCAAGGGGGCTTATATTAGATAAATGGCACATATCACAACCTTTACCTCTATTTATAATAAACGAGTAAATACTCTTTCTTTTTGAAAAGTTTCAAATTTGAATGTTATGACTCACAATTTTAGGCACGAAATGTTTAATTTCTAAGTAAAATGACGTTTGAAGGGAAAATAATGATTGAAAGAGATTTATTAATAAACGATATTCACAATAATACTGAACATTATACCGCGCGTTTATATAAACTGAACAATGGTTGACCAATATATTAATGTATGTTATTAGCTCAGCTTATAAAAATTATTGGTTCGCTTTTTATTATTATTATTATTATTATTATTATTATTATTATTATTATTATTATTTTATTATTGTTATATTTCTTCTCGAAATACAGAAAAAAATCTTTAATTCATAAATTTGAAGATCCGCGAAATGAAATGTCTTAACATAATTGCTTTAAATGTGTCCCAAGATATGCCCCCCCCTGTCCGCCCTGAATCCCACCTCTGTTCATTGTCCGTCAACGCAGAGACGTAATGCAGGGTACCGATTTGGTGGTATGAGATTTGCGATTTAGTGATACGTTTATACAATAACAGACTAAGGTGAGTTTTCAATTTTAATAATTTCAGAGTGAACATAACCATTAAAGTGTTTTATTATAAAAGAGAATGGGTAATTGTACAGTGTATAGACTCAAGGTTGTTTAAATCGAACCGGAGGGCCGAAGATCCGAGTCTCGACGTGACGTGGATCCGAGCGAGCGAAACGAGAAAACTTGTCTTTGAAAGTAACGTCAAGTGGATATGACGATGATCTTGCCGAATATCTTTGGAGGCAAGACTGTAAAAGTCAAAATAGAGATCATTTTGCGGTAATTGTAGCAGTTATAAGGGAGTTGTACTATGGACATGAATAAATAATTCGATTTAAGATTTAATATCATTGTGTCGAATATTTATTAACACCCTATCCATTCCTGTTTCCTATTTCTTACGCTTAGGTTGGTAGTATGATTACAACTAGTGAACAAATGCACATCGTACTCCGCTCATAATCAAGTCTGCGAAGGAATCCTGGAAAGTTGTTCGTATAGACGGGGCCCATCCAATTACACCAAATTCGATCCCCTACCCCTACCCCCTTTTGTTTATTACAGATTCGGCTTTTAAGAAAAAATATGTAACTTTTGTATTTTACATTTCTGTCGTACATGACCTTTTTTAAAGAGCTTATTTTGCACAACAGACTATGTCTGAGGCAAAAATCGCTATCTTCAATTTTGTAGTTTTGAATTTTTTTTGCAATTTTTGAAAAAAAACTAGCAATACCCAAAAATGAGATTAGTGCCAAAATTCTCATCGCTCCGTATTACATATGTAGAGAAATTTTCAAGAAAAAATTTGGATTGATTTTTAAGAAAACACTTTTTGTAAATTTAGAGCCAAATTTTTGAAAATTAAGATACTTTCAAGGGGGCTTCATGTAAAGAGCCCCAATTTTAAAATATCGGTTTCAAATACCTGGGGCCACGACATCAGCTAAAACGATAGTGGAATATCAATTTTGGAGAAAATCGACCGAACAGTTTATGCGATAACATTGTGCGCAGACGGATGTATGGCCGTTTTGCCGTCAATCGACTTTTCGGTATGAAAGACGCAAAAAACATGGATTATAGTTACACCACGAGTTAGAGAGATTTTTTAATATATTTAGTAACTGGATTTATCTAC